GTTAACTCATTGAGCTGGAAGTCTTTGGCTACCATATTGGGATTCTAGGTGCATCACTTGGGGCTATACAATCTTGGGGCAAGTTGAAATTGGCTCTGATTCTCAGCCTCCACCTATGAATGGGAATAAGGATTAATGAGATCATCTGTGGGTCTTTTTGTACCTTCTCTCTAGTTCTCTTGCTTTGTCATTCTGCTCATGCACCAGTGCCACATTGTCTGATTTATTGTAGCTTTATAATGCGTTCTAATAACTAGCAGGGCACGTGCCTCCTGGATTCTCTTCTTTTTCAAAAATGTCCTCATTCTTAACTCTTAGCATCATTTTATCATGTTCTTTAAAAATCTCCTTTGAATTCTTACCGAAATTGTGTTGACTTTATGGATTATTATGGGAGCAAATTCGTGTCTTTCAGTATTGGTTTTCCCATCCATAAATATGGTATGTCACTCTCTTTCTTCAAGTCTTCCTTATGTCTCTCAGTAAAATTTTATAGCTTTTCTCATATAAGCCCTACTATTTATTATTAGGTAAATTGTAAGTATTTTGATTTTTTGTCATTATGCAATGTTTTTCCTCACTAAATCTTCTAAGTAAGTATGGCTCATTGGGAGATCACTGATTTTTTTTTAATACATTGATTTCAAAAATTGCCCCCTAAATGAGATCACTTATTCATTCTAAGACATTTTTAGGTGATTTTCCTAGATTTTCCAGATAGAAAACCATACCCACCTAGAACTTCCAGAACAATCCAAAATAATAACAGCAATAGATTGCATTCTTGTTTGTTCATCACATTAACGGGAACGCCTTTCCTTTTTCAGTTCAGGTAGGGTGTACGCTGTCGGTTTGTGCTAGCTGTTTTTGATCACTAAAGAGAGTATCCTTCCAGTTCTATATAAACTTTTTCTTTTTTAACAGCTAAAACTTTTAAAACAACAGGAATCGATGTTGGTTTTAATTGAAAACCTTTCAGTATCTACAGAGAATTTTACATATTTTTTTCTCTTTAACCTATTAGTAGATTTCCTAATTTTGAACCATCCTTATATTCCTAAAGGAATCCTTGTGTATCCACAGTGTAGTCTTCTTTTACTAAATCATTAATATTGGTTTCGTGGTGTTTTATTTTGGAATTGGCATCCATGTTGCCGGAGGCTGTATAGCAGGGTGGCTAAGGGTACAAGCCTGGCACTCTGATACCTGGGTTTGAATCCTAACGCTTCATTCCCTTATCTATAAACACCACTTCTCAGGTGACAATGCCTGAGTGTTTATCTCTACTGAATTCCAGATACTTATTACAATTGCCTAAATGGATACTCCCACTTGAGAATCTCATAGATGGGGCAAATTTAACATGTCCAAACTAAAACTCTTGGCTTTGTTTATGGCCCTCCACAGTTTTCCCTATTTCAGTAGATGGCGGCACCACCATCCACCTGGTTATGAAAACCATAAACCTGAGAAACGCTCACTTCTCCATCCAGTCAGTCAGCAGGTCTTTTTAGTTCCTTCCGCAAAATGCAGCTCATTTATTCACATCTCATTAACTGCATCATCACCATCCCAGGCCAAGTCACCATCTTCCTGTAACACTTTCCTAGCTGGTCTCCCCATTTCCTTTCTTGCCTACTAAATTTTTTTCTTTACACAACAGTCATAGTGATTATATTTAAAAACATCCTGTCATGTTACTCTCCTACTAAAACCTTTAATGACTCCCCACTGGATTCAGAATAAAATCAAAACCTAGACCTTCTATGGCCCATGAGACCAATATGATCTTGACCTTACCCACTCTCTAATCTGATTATTCCACTTATCCTCCATCTTACAAGGCCCCAGACACACGTTCTCCTGTTTGGTCCTTAGACTTTCCAAGCTAAATATCTCGTTCCCCATCATATCCTTAGCTCCTAGCACAATGTCTAGAACCTTAGAAGACATTTACTAAATATTTGTTAAATTAATCAATTCATTATTATAATGTCAATTTACATTACAATTTGTAGTGTTTTGACAACTTTTTTTTTCTCCATTTCTTCCATGGTTATTGGTCAATTAAGTTTTCTGCTTCTTCAAAAATTGACACATATTAGTTGTTCCATAAATAATTGTTGAATGAATTAATTCTTAAGTCCATTTTGGTAGTTTACATTTTAATAGAAAGGCAATCCTTTACACACATATTTTTAATTTATAATATGCAGTAATTTGTCATCCTTTTGAAGCCTTCTCTTTTCTAAGGTTGTTTCCAGTTTCTCATTTCCAGTTGTGTTTTCTGGTGATTTGTGTGTGTATTTGTGTGTACACAAATAATTAGCTCTTGATTTAATTTAGAAATTTCTCATTTTTCTGGGTTTTATTTATTCTATGTTCAACTCTATTGTTTCTTCATAACTATAACAGTTGATTTTGAAACTTTTTCTTCTTTTTTTGAATTAAATATTTTCATTATTTTTGCTCAACAATAAAGGCATTTTTAAGGCTATGAATTGTCCTCTAATAAAGCTGTGTCCACATCTCAAATAAATTGTTTTCCCAGAAAACTCTGAAGTTACAGTTTTGATTTACTCTTTTACCCAGGAGATACAATTTGATACAGATTGAGATTACATATATATATAATTCAAATCCTTATTGCTAGTTTCTAGCTTTGTTGCACTGCAACCAGAGATTATGGTCTTTAAAATATATATATTTTTAATTGATTGAGATTTCCTTTATAGCCCAGTGGTGGGTAACTATTTTTGTTGTTGTTGTTTGTTTTTGGATGCTGTTGTTTTTTTATGCCTCAGGTGTAGAGGGTTAAATTAATCACACTCCTCTGTTCTTGTTATCATCTCTGTACTATGCAAAACCCTCTCTCCCCCTTGCGTTTTTAAGGCCTATTCATGTTGCTGTATGTTCATTTAACATGTTACATCTAACCCATTGCCTAGTGCTCCATGATTTCCATGTGTCCCATTTTGCCTCTCTTTTTTCCTGAAGCCCTGGTGGCACAGTGGTTAAGAGCTACGGCTACTAACCAAAAGGTTGGCAGTTTGAATCCACCAGCTGCTGCTTCGAAACTCTATGGGGCAGTTCTGATGTGTCCTGTAGGGTTGCTGTGAGTGGGAATTGTCTCAACAGCAATGGATTTGTTTTTGATTTTGGTTTTTTTCCTGGCAGAAGACACCCCCGGGCCCCACCCCATGAATCTCCACCCCATAAATAATGTTCTAGTGAACGTCTTACATGTCTTTATGAACTTGTGTGTAGATTTCTTCGGGATGTATACCTAGGAATAGATATCTCTGAGTCCTGATTTGACTGGATAGTGCCTGGTTGCCTACCAGGACAATTGCATCATCCCTACTCCTCTGATAGCCACTTGGCTTCCTGTATCCTCACACCCCTTTCCTCTTGGCATTAGCCAACTTTCTATTTGTCGCTAGCCTGATAAGTGTAAATGATTTATTGTTTTTTGTTTCATTTTATATGATTATCAATGATTTTGAACATCTTTTCATATCCTTTTGAGTTTCTTCTGTAAATTATTATCTTTTGGCCATTTTACTATTGGAATTACTGTCTGTTAATGCTTTGCAGGAATTCTTCATAGGTTCCAGAAATGAATCCTTTGTTGGTTTTAAATACTGCCAATATCTTTTACCATTCTGCAGTCTATTAACTTTGTCTAAGGGATTCCTCATTAAATAAGAATTCTTAGTTTTTATGTCGTCAGATTCATCAATTATTTGCCTGTGCTTTTGTTTAAAATGACCCCCTACTCCTCCCTCAGGTCACAAAGAAATTCCCCTTTATTTTATTTTTCTAACATCATACTTTACCTTTTGCATTTAAGTTTTTAATCCATCTGTAGTCCACTTTTGCACGTGGCATTAGGGATCCAGTTTTATTTTTCTCCAGTTTTCCATACTTTAAAGTTTCGGCTGCAGTTGTGAATGATAACTTATTTTTTCAGTTATCTTTTTCTAGTCAATTGTTGCTGATACAGAGAAATGCTTCTGATTTTTGCAGGCTGATCTTGTATCACACAACCTTACTGGACTCTAGTATTGGTTCTCACGTGTGCCCTGTTGATTCTGTTGGATTCTCCATGTAGATGATGATGTTAATTACAAATAATGACAGCTTAAGCTCTTTCCTTCCAGTAATTGTACCTGTTGCTTCTTTTGTGTGTAGCATTAGACAAGATTGCCAGTCCTGTGATGATGGGCTGCTTTGTCTTGTTCCTGCTCTTAAAGGGAATACATTTAAAGCTTATCCATTAAATATATTTGCTGTTTCTGTTATATAACCCTTTATCAAATTAAGGAGGTTCCCTTCTATTTCTAATTCACTAAGAGTATTTTTTAATGATGAATATGTGTTGATCTCTATTAAGTATTTAATAGAACATCTTGAAATATTTTGTAAATTAATAAATATGGCTCTCTTTGGATACCATTTTAGTTTAATTACTCTGTGCTTTACGATAGACTTTTTCACACTCATTTAGCATTTATTTTGTATGTCTGTGAGTCAGGCACCAGAAATTCTTGACACAGGGGACACTGCTGTGAACTAAACAAAACCCCTGCCCTTTGAGGAGCTTCCATCCAGTGGAGGAAATGAACAGTAAGCATGCAGTAAATAATATAATATATCAAGTAGCCATAGCTGCTCGAGAGAAAAACGCAGCAGGGTAAAGGGATAGGATAGAGGGTGCTATTCTAGGTGGAGTGGTGTGGAAAGGCCCCTCTGAGTTGACATTTGAGCAGATTTGAGCCACATGCATGACTGGAGGAAGAGCCTTCCAGAAGAGAGAACGGCAAGTGCAAAGGCCCAGAAAGAGGGGAATGCTTGTCTTCTTTGAGGAGCAGCAGGGGGCTGGGGAGAGAAAGGCAGCCCGGAGCCAGGTCACGTGGGGCCTCATCGGCATGGTCAGGTCTTTGGGTTTTATCCTAAGTATAAAGGAGCACCATTTGGGAAGTTTGGGTAAGGGAAGTGGCATGGTGTGACCTGTATAGTAAAAGGTCCATGCAGGCTGCTGAGTGGAGAAGACACAGTGGGGACAAGAGGAGATGAAGGGAAGCTAGCTGGGAGGCTGGCGAAGGCTTCAGGTGAGAGATGACAGAGGCTTCGACTAGAATGGTAACGTTGGAAAATGTTAAGAAGCGGAGAGTTTGAGGGTTTGTTTTCAAGGGTAAGCCGACAGGATTTGCTGATGGATTCAATCTGCAGTGTGACACAGAAAATCCTAGACTCCTGGGTGTTGGCTGGGTAGCTCACTGGGGTCAATGAAAAAGTTGCTGATATTAAAACCCTTTAGGTTGGGAGTCAATGGCTGAGATAATAATAATCCCCTAATTCAGTTCCCTGAGATGTTTGAGCAGAAGTGTGAGATGCATAGAAGCCAAGACAGGCCCCCATGAGAAAATGGGGAGTTGCCCAGGGAAGCAGGTCTGTGAAAGCCGGGGGACTAGGAGATGTGAGGTACAAGAATGAGGCTGGTCAGCATGTCCCAGGAGCCTGCATCTCTGACCCCTACCCAAAAGAGCCTCCAGAAATCCTAACTGGTATGGTCTGAATAGATTTAACTCTTCTTGTAACTTGCAAATATATTTTAATTTACTTACGGCCACCAAGACAGCCCTTCTGATTTCAGTAAGATAGTAGAAACATAAACAGAATGTTAATTCATTTATTTGTCTAACAATTCTTCTTCCTGTGAGTATTATCCAATTCGTGTTTAGCACTGAACAATATGAAAATCATTTTCTAACGTTCAATGCCATTTTTATTAGAAAATAATCCCAGTGCTGGGGATGAGACTAACATCAGTGTTACAGGCTGTGCTCTTTTAGGTTTTATGACACATGATGATATTTTGAGCACATTATTTGACCTGAGATACAATAGAAACGTGTCTTTGATCTCTGCCCTTGGAACCGAGCACCCACATCTGTAATCTGAAAGGAAGGAGCCCTGATGGCACAGTCGTGAAGTGCTCAGCTGCTAAGCAAAAGGTCAGTGGTTGGAACCCACCAGCTGCCCCACTGAAGAAAGATGTGGCAGTCTGCTTCTGTAAAGGTTACAGCCTTGGAAATCCCATGGGTCAGTTCTGCCCTGTCCTGTAGGGTCACTATGAGTTGGAATCTACTCAACAGCAGTGGGGAATCTGGAAGGAGATTTTTAATTTGATGAATGCAGATTCTGCAAAGAGTCATAAACTATCATCCAGGGTTTTTTGTGTGTATAGTGTGTGTGTGTGTGTGTGTGTGTTTGTCTGTCTGTCTGTCTGTCTCCCTGTGTCCCTAAATGGTGCTGGCCCTTTTATACAAGGAATGCTTCTTTTGTACCAAAAATTAGGGGAAAAAAATAAGTCACTCATTAAACCGTAAATGCTGGACTAAAACTCATTCATGAGCCGAGTGACTGCAAATCTTGTGAACACAGCCTTTCTTACCCCACCTTGGGCAGGCCTGACTGATAGATAGACAGACAGAAAGAAATACGGATTGAAAATCCTGGATGTTTCCTGTTCTCAATAAAATGGTTTTGAGAAGTCCTTTGAGGAAATTCTCTGTGGCGTTTGTATGTTCAGGGGATGCTCATTGCTAAACAAATATCTATTGTGCACCTGCTGTGTGCCAGGCCCTGCCCTCACCCCTGAGGATATAACAGCAAACAAGAGAGACTCAGTCCCTGCGTACATTCCTGCAACATCTGAGAGAGGACGTTAGCCATTCATTGCAGTCATTTAATTGCTGCAGTGCCCAGTTAGACAAAAAGACCCCAGTTACGCTCTTCCTAACTAGGCATTAAGCTCACCAGACCTCACGGGCCACACATGGCCTCAGATTACTCAGAAGGGCTGCACCAGGGCCCCTCTTCTGTGGAAGTCGTCCTCACAGCAGTTGACCCAGCAGCCAAGGTCTCGTTTCCACCCCTAGCCCCGCAGACAACTGCTCAGGTGCCTGGAAATGAGGTCCATCTTGGTGGATCACGGGTTCCCCTTAGCATAGCAGCCCTGGGCCTGGCAGGAGCTGGTATCCTCTGTGACAGCGGGATAGGCACAGCTTCCAGGGCCCCCACAAGGACGTGCCCTGGTACAAGAACCACTGCTCCAGAGAAGCTCAGAGCTATGGCAGACCCAGCTCTCTGTAGTTCTGCTTACACATGGGGTCACCGTTAGTCAGAATCGACTCTGTGGCAACTGGTTAGGGTTTTTGGTTTCTAGTTCAATGCCAGCAACGTTGCTGGCATTCCACCCTTATCAAGTTTCCAGGGAACAGAGCTAGAAATTAACTTAAGGTCAAATTGGTCCTTAGAGAAGGAGAAGGAGTTTTATTAGCCCTTTACTTACACTTTTGTTGTAAGTGCTGCCCAGGAGAAGCAGAGTGTGAAGAGCACTTATGACTGAGGAAGCAATGCCATCGCTATTCATTCATTTATTCATTCATTCGTTCATTATGCAGCAAGTGCTGAGTGGTTCCAAAAGAGATCTAGAATACTGACATCCTCTTCATTTTTCAGACCAGTCATCATGGTGAAAAGCGGCTTGGGCTGCTGGATCCTGGTTCTCTTTGTGGCCACATGGAGTGATGTGGGCGTCTGCAAGAAGCGACCAAAGCCAGGAGGAGGATGGAACACTGGGGGGAGCCGATACCCAGGGCAGGGGAGTCCTGGAGGTAACCGCTACCCACCCCAGGGTGGCGGTGGCTGGGGTCAGCCTCACGGTGGCGGCTGGGGACAGCCTCATGGTGGTGGCTGGGGACAGCCCCATGGTGGCGGTGGCTGGGGTCAGCCCCACGGTGGTGGCTGGGGACAGCCCCATGGTGGCGGTGGCTGGGGTCAAGGTGGCACCCACAGTCAGTGGAGCAAGCCCAGTAAGCCGAAAACCAACATGAAGCATGTGGCAGGGGCTGCTGCGGCTGGGGCAGTAGTGGGGGGCCTTGGTGGCTACATGCTGGGGAGCGCCATGAGCAGGCCTCTCATACATTTTGGTAACGACTATGAGGACCGTTACTACCGTGAAAACATGAACCGTTACCCCAACCAAGTGTACTATAGGCCGGTGAATGAGTACAGCAGCCAGAACAACTTCGTGCACGACTGCGTCAACATCACAGTCAAGCAGCACACAGTCACCACCACCACCAAAGGGGAGAACTTCACTGAGACCGACGTTAAGATAATGGAGCGCGTGGTCGAGCAGATGTGCATAACCCAGTACGAGAAAGAATTCCAGGCTTATCAGAGAGGGTCGAGCGTGGTCCTCTTCTCCTCCCCTCCTGTGATCCTCCTCATCTCTTTCCTCATTTCCCTGATAGTGGGATGAGGAGATCTTCCCGATGATACCATCTTGTTCATCTTTTACCAGGTGGGGAGGGGGTATCTACCTGCAGCCCTTTTAGTGGTGGTGTCTCATTCTTGCTTCTCTCGTTAGTCACCCGTAAGTTAATACCCTTGGCACTGATGGGCAGTGGGAAATGTAGAGTGGGCCCAGGAGGCTATTTCTTCAAGCCCCCTTGGATTGAGTTCTTCATGGGTGGCCAGTGCTAATGCTGGGCTGGTAAGAGAGTAACCGCAAATGATCATTTGTTAATCTAGGCTTATTTGTCTCGTGCAGTAGGGTGGGGCTAGAACAAGTCTCAAAACAGTCTTCAAATGGCTTTACCTAAATAACTCCAGCTGTCTCCCCAGCTAGAGCCCCATACACAAATGCCCCATCGGAGAACCCTTTCGTGGCCCACGTGCCGTGGCACGCCCAGTTATGTTTTCGGCCTCTCGGGTTTCTTGGGAAGTTGCTTTCTCAGTGACAGTGCATGCTGCCACCAAGTCGGGCCCTGCATAACAGTTTGAAACCAAAAAAAAATGCGCATGTGCCACAAATGACTGTGTTTACAGGATGTTGTAAGAGGTGTGTGCGTTTTTGGTAGGAAAAATAGACATTCTGAAAATTTTTCTTTGGGACTCATGTCACTGCCGACTGGGTGGGTGGAGGGACTCTGGGGGTACACTATATGGGACAAGTCTGTCCCTCAGGATTCTAAGGGTATGCTTGTGGGATGAGGCAAGAAAAAAAAAATCCATACTACCTACCAAAAATTCAGACACACACAGTGATTCAGCATGCTTCCATTAATGAAAACACATGGCATCAATAAAAAATTCAAAGTAGAAAAGAATAAGGTCATGAAAGGGTTAGCAGTGATTTCATAGAAATTTGGAGACACTTTTTCATCCATTTTAAGAAAACCTCCCTGCATTTCCCTGTTCAAGCAGCATTTCTGCCAAACCTGGAAGGAGACAACGTGGTACTCAACTCCAAAACTAGAAATCCTTAGCTCTGGGCCATGGGCTCAGCCCGCTGGACAGTAGATGCCCTTTGCCTGCAGAGAACTCTGACAGTGCTTTTGCATTTTGCAGCACTGGCTGCACAGGCACCTTTGCATTAAGAGTAAATATTCATGCAACACTAGAACCCTGGCCAGGGGATGTTTTCACAGGGAGTGAGCCTACCTGTGATATATGTATGAAAGGCTTCTGGGACTGAAACAACATTTGGGAGTAGCGCTGTGAGAGGCAATCTTTTTTTTTTTTGAATGCTTAAAACACCTACCGGAAACCCTGGTGGCATAGTGGTTAAGGGCTACAGCTGCTAATCAAAAGATCAGCAGTTCAAATCTACCCGGCACTCCTTGGAAACCCTACGGGGCAGTTCTAGTCTGTCCTATAGTGTCACTATGAATCAGAATCAACTCGACGGCAGTGGGTTTTTGGTTTTGCTAAAGCACCTACGTGTGGCATTCCCTTCTTTAGCAACATAATAAACTGTAGATAATTAAGGCAGCCAAAATTAAATTACATTCTGGATACTGAAAGCAAGTCTTTGTTCATTTACCTGGAAACCTGAGTAAGTTTAGCATTGTTTGGGTGAAGCCAAGAGATTTTAACATAGAGGAAGCTGCAGCTGTAAAAGCACGATTATCATAGAGGATTGTGGAATGAGGAAAATGGATAGTGTTTAAAGAAATGCTTGCGTTTCTTTATTGCTGTCTCATAATTGTCAAAAATCAGAATTAGACTGAGTCCTTAGTTTCTGTAATTGACTTTTGAATCAGAATAGGGGGACAATCCCAAAAAAAGCTTAGATTGGAGATGACACGGGTATGATCCATTCAAAGTGGAAAAGGAATTTCTGTTAATGTTACTTAAGGCAAAATTATTCCCTTAATTGTTCAATATTGTCACCTAGCAGATATGTATTCCTATTCTGCAATGTTACTGGCTTGCAGTGTGTGGGTATTCTATGTTAAAAAAAAAAAAAAAAAAAGTATATATATATATTGCATATGATAAACTTAGAAGTTTTGCTCAGTGCAGTTAAACGTCTGAAGTATCTAAGGTGTTAACTGATTTTGTAAGATACTAAATACTTAATATGTGGGAAACCCTTTTGAGTAGTCCTTGGGCTTAATGTGCATTGAATAGTTTTGTATAAGAATCCAAAATGGACACCATTAACTGCTCTTTGAAATGTGCATGTACTTTATATTTTCTATATTTGTAACTTTGCATGTACTTGTTTTGATGTATAGAAAATTTATAAATGTTTACTATGACTAAAATTAAACGGGAGCTAAGGTGAGTGTTTTCTGGGCTGTTTGCAGTGATCCTCACTAGTGATCAGCTTGTGTTGGCAGGAGCGTTTGGAGAGTTAATCTGAGCAAAGTGCCATCACACCTTGGGTGATGGCCAGTGTTTCATGTACCTGCTCCTGGTCTTGCCCTTATCCTTACTTCCCAGTCACATACCAGTTTATCTCCACTGCCTTTTCATTTTCCCACATGTACCTAAGTTTGCCTAAAAACAAATCTGTTGCCATCAAGTTGATTCTGACTCACGGCAACCCCATGTGTTACACAGTAATACTACTAAGTAGGGTTTTCTTGGCTGCATCTTTAAGGAGATCACCAGGCCTTTCTTCCACCAACGCCACTGGGTGGGTTCAAACTACCAACCTTTAGGTTAATGTCATTAGGTGCCGTCGAGTCAGTTGCAACTCCTAGTGACCTTATGTACAGCAGAACAAGATGCTACCCTGTCCTGCACTTGCACACCCAGGGACCTGGGAAAATGACAATGGTACTGTTGCAGCAGAAGGGACACAGTCCTTGCATTCCAGAAGTTTTTTTCTGTCCTGGATTTAGAAATAGAGAATTTTCTTGATTAAAATGAAATTTTAAGTTCTAAATACCAGGCGGGGCCAAGATGGCAGAGTAGTTAGATGCTTCCGGTGGACCCTCTTACAACAAAGACCCAAAAAAACAAGTGACTCGGTTATGTATGGCAGTCTGGGAGCCCTGAACATCAAAGGCAGAGCTGAGGAACTGGACTGAGTGGCAGGGGGAGGGACAGATGGTTCGGAAGCAGCGAGGAGTTGCCAGTCCTGACCCGGTGAGAGCCTGAGCCCTTCAGACCTGATCAGCTCGGGGGTGAGCGGTGAGGCAGGCAAGCGGTGGTCCTCAGGATGTGTGTTTTCCACACCAGGACAGACCCAGCGCCAAAGAGTCTGCACGGCCACCCAGAACCAGTGAGAAGCAGCCCTGGATCGGCAAAAGATAAGTACTTGTTTGTGCCTACCACACGGATCAGAAACACCCCCCTTAGAGAAAAACCTCTCTCCCATTTACCTCCCCGCTCCCTGCTCTGCACTGGGTCCCAGACCAGCTTCAGCAATTGCTGAGTCCCCTGGGCCAGAAGTAGGATCCATCACATGCCCGGAGCCATTCTCCCTGCCTTGGAGAGTGAACAAATGAACGAGAAAAAATAAACTGCCGGCTCCCCTAAGCCAGAAACCCGGGTAGGCACAGCTCCTTTGCCTAGGAACAGGCATAAGGGATCCACGGACTTTGAGTGCCTTTCCCCCTGCATAGACTTGTGTGGGCCCATTTCACAGTGTAGGCCCTCATTACCAGGGTACAACAGGGTATATACCAGAAGTCTAACTTCAACTGTTTCAGCTATGAAATGGCAGGTTCTTGACATTTGACACTGCTCTGCCTATTAAGCAGGGTCTTCACCTAGCCACATCAGGGGCCTGAGGACTGGTGGCTCCACCCAGACCACCTAGCCACCTGCAGTGGGGGCCCATGAAAAAGCAGTGCCCCCTAGTCCTTACAGCCAATAGCATTAGGTGCTCATAGTCTGGCTGCAAAACCCACCCACCTATGCACTCTAGGGAACAGGGACACTCCTTCCTCCTGGACACGGGGGTGGCCATCAGCCCCCTGCCTTGCTCAGAGTGTGTCCCCCTGCTGCAGCCAGATGCCTGTGCCTATGCCAATCACCCATACCTGTCTAGAACTTTAAGTGAGAGTCTACACCATACACTTTGTGGCTACCTACCTGGGCACCTGAGCTGAACCCATACAGGAGGAGTGGGCGTACTCCTGAGTCACATACCTAGTAACAGAGCTAACCACCTGGTGACAGGACATTAGAGCTTCACGGTGCCAATAATCAAACTAGCTCATACGAGCAGCCTGTTTAGGCATATCAAAACAAAACAAGAAGCTAGGACACAGTAAGAAAACATAAAATAAATAAATATAATAACTTATTGATGGCTTGGAGGCAACAGTCAATATCAAATCACATGAAGAGGCAATCCATGATGGCTTCAGCAAGCTTCCAAAATAATCTAGAAATTTTCCAGAGGAGGAAAATTTCTTGGAGTTACCAGAGGCAGAATACAAAAGATTAATATAGAGAACTCTTCAAGAAATTTGGAAGGAAATTAAGCAAAACACAGAAGACGCAATAGAGGAAATTAAAAAGATTAGAGAAGAGCATAATGACAAATTTAACAGGCTACAAGAATCCATAGAGAGACAGCAATCAGAAATCCAGAAGATTAACAATAAAATTTCAGAATTAAACAACTCAATAGAAAGTCATAGGAGCAGAACTGAGGCAACGGAAGTCAGAATTGGTGAGATTGAAGATAAAGCACTTGACACCAACTTATCTGAGGAAAACTCAGATAAAAGGATTTTAAAAGATGAAGAAACCCCGAGAATTCTGTGGGACTCTATCAAGAGGAATAACCTACGAGTGATTGGAGTACCAGAACGGGGGGGTGGGGGGATAACAGAAAATACACAGAGAATTGTTGAAGATTTGTTGGCAGAAAACTTCCCTTATATCATGAAAGATGACAAGATATCTATCCAAGATGCTCATCGAACCCCACATAAGAAAGATCCCAAAAGAAAGTCACCAAGACATATTATAATTGAACTTGCCAAAACCAAAGACAGAGAATTTTAAGAGCAGCTAGGGATAAATGAAAAGTCATCTACAAAGGAGAGTCAATAAGAATAAGCTCAGACTACTCAGCAAAAACCATACAGGCAAGAAGGCAATGGGATGACATATACAAAGCCTAGAAGGAAAAAAACTGCCAGCCAAGAATTATGTATCCAGCAAAACTGTCTCTCAAATATGATGGCGAAATTAGGGCATTTCCAGATAAACAGAAGTTCAGGGAATTTGCAAACACCAAACAAAAATTACAAGAAATACTAAAGGGAGTCGTCCGGTTAGAAAATCCATAACATCAGGTAACAACCCAAGACTAGAACACAGGACAGAGTGACCAGATATCAACCCAGATAGAGAAGTCACAAAAGTAAATCAAAGCTAAAACCCTGAAAACAGGGAAACAGATGTCAATATGTAAAAGATGACAACATTAAAACGAAAAAGAGGGACTTAAAAATGTAGACATAGATTTTTCTTATGGAGAGGAAGTCAAGGTGATATAAAGAAATAAAAGACTGGTATAAACTTAGAAAAATAGGAGTAAATATTAAGGTAACCACAAAGGAAACTAACAATCCTACAAGTCAAAATAAAAAACTAGAAAAATATAAAGACTCAGCAAACACAAAATCAACAACAATGAAAAAGATGAAAAGAAAATACAGAAAGAAAAACAACTCAGCACAGAAAATTAAGTGGAACAAAGAAGCTGTGAACAACACAAAAAAAGACATCGGAATGACAACACTAAACTCATACCTATGAATAATTACACTGAATGTAAATGGACTAAATGCATCAATAAAGAGACAGAGTAGCAGATTGGATAAAAAAAAAAAAAAACACGATCCATTCATATGCTGCCTACAAGAGACATACCTTAGACTTAAAGACAAAAACTAAAACTCAAAGGATGGAAAAAATATATCAAGCAAACAACACTCAAAAAAGAGCAGGAGTGGCAATATTAATCTCTGACAAAACAGACTTTCAAATCCACCACAAAGGATAAGGAAGGACACTATATAATGATTAAAGG